TTGGTACTGCATGCGCATTTGTATATAACTGTACATTCTAAATATAACTTAGTCTCTAGAATGTCACTTGCCTATGAGTTTTCAGGGCCGATTAGTTGGCACTAGACAAGCAGTTGGTTCGCTCTTTCCTGGGGAAGCCCACTTCTCCCACTCCTAGCTTTCCTCAGTCGCCTATAGTTCTGTGCATAGGGTTTTAGTCTCCTGGGCTTCCCACACACACTATGGCATCTCCATGGGTGTCATCCTTGTTCATCTCATGCTTGGGCAGCCATATGGGTGAGATTTTAGGGGTGTAGCTCCTGACATTACTAGGAGACACAGTCTCACAGCAAACTGCCTTACAGTCTTACAGAACGCAAGATCACCTGCCCAGGAGCAGCGATCTGGGCCCTCCCACATTAATCGCTAATCAAGAAAATGCCCACAGACTTGGGGCAGGCAATCTGATGGAAGTGTCTTCTCAACTGATGTTCCTCTTCCAAATGACTCTTGTCTGTGTCAAGTTAACACAAGATCTTGCCAGAACCCAGCTGTTTTCCAGCATATGTGTGGCCTTAGGTACAGTCTCCAGCAGCACATACAAAAACTGTACTTTGTTTTTTGAGATAGGATTTCCATACATAGCCCCACTTGGATGTCCTGGAACTCACTATGTACCAGGCTGCCTTCAAACTCAGAGCTCTTCCACCTGCCTCTCCCTCCTGAGTGCTGGCATAAAAACCATGCACCACCGTGTCTGGCTTTTTTTTTTTTTTTCTCTTTTTTTTTTAAAGCTATAACTTTTTGGTGACAGTTCTTTTTTGTAAATTATGTGTATGTATGGTTATTGAATTGCTTTCTGTATTTACTTATTTATTTAACTTTAGGCAGGGTCTTACATAGCCAAGATGCTGCCCCTGAACTTATAGTTCTTTTGGCTCCATCTCCTCTGAGTGCTAGGATTAAGGCGTATGCCACGATACCTGTTTTATGCAGTTGCTGGGGAAAACAAGAGTTTCACGAATGCCAAGCAAACATTCTACCAACTGAACTACGTCCCTAGACCTTACCTCTGTCTGTATTTAAAGCAAGTCTTGTAAGAGAGACAATGGCCATGGTTGGACTTGGAAGAGTGGCTGGGGTCGGAGGCGCTCTCCCCTGGAAGGACTGATGCCCTTATCACTGATATGTTTGTGTTGTCAGACTGGGTTTGTTATGAAACTGAATCCGGCTTTCTCTAGCTTTCTCTCTCTCTAGCAGCAGGAGGGCTGCTGCCCTGCAGTCCTTGTTCTTGGCCTTTCCCACCTCCAGAACCACAAGCCAAACAAACTAATACTGTTTGCTAAAACAGCCGACTTGTGTTTGAATCCTCAGTCCTTGCCTTTTCTCAGAGCATCTTTACAATTTAGTAGGATGATTTCTGCATGGCAATTTGAATCCCTCACTGAACTTTTGTCGGGTCCCTCATAAATTTAACAGTCAATCATAAGTCTCTCGTTTAATAAGTTTCATGTAGTTCTCCTCACAGCTGTCAGAGATGATTAAAAACCTTAACTCATCACCCGTGACGGATACTGTTGAGTTGCATATGCACAGGAAAGATGCATTCTCACTAACAGTTGCTATAGCTGCAAACTATCCCAAAATGACTGATGAATAAAGAGAGAGGGTGTGTGTTTGTAAACTACTAATTCATGAACCTCATGAATTCAGGGAGTTATGATTCAGGCTGGCTTCCTCTTTCTTCCACACAGTGTCAACTGAGGTCACTGCTAGTATTGAGCTGGTACTTGAGTTGGTCTGAAAGACACAGTTGGAAGGCTGAGAATGTGGCCTCTGCATGGTGGGGCGTTTTACCCCGGGGCCGCCTCACGTAGGATGAGAGGCATCCGAAGAAAACCAGGCACAAGTATTTCGAGCTCTTGTAATTAAGCCCCAGAAGCCGTGCCGAGCTTAGTTAGCCACCATGCAAGGAAGTGCTGCACTTTCATGGTGTCTTCTTCATGGGAAACTTTGTGGCAAAACCAAGCCTTTTCAGAAGTATTCCTGCTCACCACCTTAACCTTAGAATACGTGGATGGTCCATGATCTCAGGCTAAACACGCCCAGACACTTGACTCCTGGCTTTCCTTGTACTGTGACCTTAAACAGTACACTCTCCGAAATGTGCCTCTGTCTCTGGAGGGATTTCCTATATAAAGTTTATAAGCTTCTCGAGTAAAATCCCTACAGTTCCTCTGTTTGGGGAGGGCACTGCTTTGGGAATAACTCCAGTGATCCCCTTACTTGCTGCAGTTAATACACCTCTCATCACCTTCTTATCTCTTGGTTGTACTTTGTAGCTCTGCACTAACCAAGATGTAGATTACTCATTACATATGGTTACAGGTTTTGTTATCATGTCTTTGTTAGCAGGCAGGTTGTAAGGCCAACCAGGGATTAAAAGGAGGGTAGTTGCATTAGAATCCGCTTTTAAAAAATTGTGGCTGTGCCTGCTTGTCTGTAAATGTACTACATGCATCATGGTACTCATGGAAGCTGTAAGAAGGCATCAGATCCCCTGGAACTGGAATTACAGATGCTTGTGAATTGCCTAATATGGATGCTCTGAGTTTCATTCAGGTCCACTGTAAGAGCATCAAGTACTACTGAGACATTTCTTTGGGCACTAGAATCCTTTCCCTTTCCTTTCCTTTCTTTTCCTTTTCCTTTCCTTTCCTTTCCTCTCCTCTCCCTTCCCTTTCTTTCTTTTTCTTCCTTCCTTCCTCTTTCTTTCTTTCCTTTCTTCCTTCCTTCTTCCTTCCTTCCTTCCTTCCTTCCTTCCTTTCTTTCTCTCTCTCTCTCCTTCCTTCCTTCCTTCCTTCCTTCCTTCCTTCCTTCCTTCCTTCCTTCCTTCCTTCCTTCCTTCCTTCCTTCCTTCCTTCCTTCCTTCTTTTTGACTTATTTATTTATCATGTATACAATGTTCTGCCTGCATGTACACCTGCATGCCAGAAGAGGGCACCAGATCTCATTCTAGATGGTTGTGAGCCACCACGTGGTTGCTGGGACTTTTGGAAGAGCACCCAGTGCTCTTAACCTCTGCGTCATCTCTGTAGCCCCTAGAATCCACTTCTTAAAAAGAGAAATTGTGTGTGTGTGTGTGTGTGTGTGTGTGTGTGTGTGTGTGTGTGTATGTTTTGCTTTTCGGGACAGGGTTTCTCTGTGTAGCCCTGGCTGTCCAGGAACTTAACATTTTAGACCAGACTGGCCTCAAACTCTTGAGATCTGCCTGCCTCTGTCTCCCAAATGCTGGGATTAAAGGTGTACACTGCCACACCTGGCGAAAAGGATTTAGTTTTCCTTTTTAAAATTATGTATAGGTGTGTGGTTTGTGTGTGGTTATGTGCAAGTGAGTGCCGCTGCCCATGAGATCAGAGGCAGTGGACACCCCTGGAGCTGGAGTTACAGGAGGTTTATGAGACCCTGACATGAGTGCTGGGAACCAAACCTAGGTCTTCCGTAAGAGCACCAAGTGCTCTTGACTGCTAAGCCATCTCCAGGCCCCAGAATCCACTTCTTACAGAGTACTTGCAAGGCCACATTCCTCATTCAACAACCACAGGTACCACAGGTACCCTTTCCTATGTTAGGCTGTCAGGCTTTGATCCCAGTGCCCAGGGACTGAGCTGAGTGGTGCCAGGAGGCTTCCAAGATTAGGTCTGTTCCGCTCCATGCCTGGCCTGCTGCTCTGGGGCCTCTGAGGACTGTTTCCTGAAAGACTGTGGGAACCCCATTTCAACCTGTGGCATCCTGGCTCAGAGCTTCTGCCCTCAACTGGTGGCACTGGGAAACTGGGGAGTCTTGAGAAAGGACCCCTCGTGCTCACACAGCGCCACATCCTTGGCAATGGCTGTGATCTCACTGTACTTTAGGCTCAACTTACCCACTCCATTCCACAACCAGCCAGAACTTGGCCTCTTTTGAGGGCTTCTCCTTCACCCCAAGATGCACCAACCCAAAACTTCTTCAACTGTGGCCCACAACACTGTTCTGTAACTCAGTGTAGGAGTGACCAAAAATTGAGCAATGGTAAGAGGCTTCCAAATGCACCATGATCAAAATGATTCCAACGCAAGTGTGTAAAGAAGCCAGGGTAACACCTAGGGTGCATTGTGCAACTCCAGTGCAGCTTTGGTTCTGCAGGCACAACAGGCCCAGTTTACACTGCACACGCCGTGCAAGCCGCTGAAGGCTGCCCGAGATGCCTCGCAGCAGGTTTGAAATCACATTACAGGCTGCAGTGTTTCCACTGCACATACAGAAGCATCGTGGTTTAATTACAGAAAACAAAGAATTTTAATATTTTTTCCCATCATCCCTCAGCGTGTATGAAATTATAGTATCTGTATGATATTGGACAAACACATGCAACTAATTAATATGGAAATCTGCCTTTGTCTCTAGTAATTGCTCAGGGTCACCTGACATCAGTGTCACCCCCCATGGCACTCTCCCAGCACAGGATCTTCAGGTCCTGGGGGCTCTGGTGTGTCCTGTGCTTCAGGCTGCAGGTAAAACTTGGTCCCAGGTCCTGTAGGAGATCCCATTCCGCAGAAACCGATTCAGATCAAAACTAGGTTATTTGCCGTCGGGAGAAGACAGGAGGCCACCAAACACACCTGCAGCTCCAGGTGCACTCTTGCTTCTGCCTGTCCATCGCTGCCCTGGCTCGAATCCGCTGGGGGCGCGGTCTACACCACCTGTGGCCTCCCATCCAAAGTCCAGCTTTCCACAGCCCCTCCCAGTGAGCCGATCGTTACACTTCCTCACCTTCTTCCAGCTGCCTTGAGGCCCAGGGCGACCGGCCGGAGGCAGGGACCTAAAGATGCGCCTGCGCTGAGTGACAAGCTCTTAGAACCCTTACCTCAACGGCTGTGTAGACTGCACACCGAGTTCATAGGGACTGCGCCTGCGCGGGACACCGAGGCCTGGGCGGGGCGTGCTCTGCGGCCAGCCCCAGCGCTCCACGCGTGCGCACATCTAGGGCGGCGGCTCAGGCATCGGGCTGGCATCCTCTGTCCCTTCCCGGTGCAGCCTAGAATTCAGCGGAGAAACGCGGCCGAGGTAGGTTTCTTAATGGGCAGCTTAGACAGCTGGACCGCAGTCGAGGCAGGACATGCTAGGCAAAAGGTCTTCCGTGCATGTGTGTCTCCAGCGTCCCGAGGCCTCCGCCCCCTATCGAGACCTAAGAGAGTGCCCTCTCGAAGGTTCTGTTCCAACCTCACCTGTTCTCAGCAGCGCCCGCCCTCTACCCTCTCCTTTTCGTGGTACCCCTCACTGCCCAAGAGTCCCCCCCACCGGCTCCCAGAGCCACGCCCTTCCAGGACCACGCCCACCTGTCTTATGCCTCCCGAGCCACGCCCCCACGTCTCTCGACTCTTAGCCTCGTGAAAGTGGGTACACTGGTCCTGAAGGACCCTCCGATTTATTGTCTTCCTCCAGGTACCCGCCTTATGCCCGCCGTTCCCAGGCTTCTCACAGGAACTGTAATTGTAAATTATTTGTAATTCTATTTGTTGTTAGGAAGTGTGAAGTCCAGATCTAGAAGCCCAGCAGACATTTAAACAAATAATTGATGTCACTGAAGTCATTCCCAGAGCCAAGCGGATTACACAGCCCCTGAAAAAAAAGAGTGTTAAAGAGTAGGAGGGTGTCTGGGCATGCGGATTTCAAGTCTGCCAGTGGATCAGGTCAAGTACCAGGGGTTTAACTTCGAGTTTAAGCTGTTAAGAGTTTCTAAAACAGAATTGATACTGATTTACTGTGAGTAAAAACAGGTCCCAGAGGAACAAAATCAATACCTAGCACACTAACGAAGGAAGCACACAGTATTTGAAGATTTTAATTATTAAGACCCTCTAAAGAATTGTGACGATAAAGTTCATTTCTGTAGCATTCTTTACACATATAGGGAACCGCAGAGCTGAAATGGATTTAATTATCAAGCAGTGTAACAAGCACTTTGTGTCTCTCTATTCTCAAGTAGACGTGGAAGGGGAAATGAAATGACAGAGTGGCAGTGATGAGGCATGATCTTATTGAACAATGGAGACGCCAGCTGAATGTCCCGGAAATGAGTCACAGGTCACCCCTGTGCTGGTACGTAAGAGCCCTGTGTAACGGTGGTACAGAGTGCCAGCTCACAGGTGTGATGCAGTTTTCCTTGTCTCCCAAGGTTATGGCCAACGGGAGGATGCTTGAATTTAAACAACGTTGAGGCAGGGGGATGAGCCTAATCATTCGGTGCCATGCTGAGTGGTGTCATGAACATTTCAGGGAACTCTTTAGCGTGCCTCAGACACCACAATTCATTCTTACAATTGGTTGGTCTTAAACAGAGGATCAGGAGAATGCTTGGTACTCGAGAAGATCCATGTTTGCATGCTGTTTTTCTGCCTTGGGTATATACGTACATTTTGATTCTTGTTACCAGAGAAAAGATCTCTGTCAGTGTTGATTATGTACAATTAATGAAATGAATATTCAAATAAAAATGCTCTTAAAAAAATCAAAAGATCTTCATGTCTGTGGTGTCAGCTTCAGAATTTTTTTTTATCCTAATTATTTTCCACCCAATAGTTTTAATTTATTTAATTATTTAATGTATTGATATAGGGTCTTACTGTGTATCCCTGGCTGGCCTAGAAGGGTTATGTAGACTGGTTTTAAATTCACAGAGATCTGCCTGCCCCTGGCTCCTGAATGCTGGGATTAAAGGTGCTTCCATCCATAGCTACTAGGTTGTATGTTTTAAACATTTTTATATGTAGGAATTTTATTTGTTTTGTTTTTGTTAATCATTTCCCATTTTCAGCCAAAAAGTGTTTTAATTCCATGAATTCCCAGTTTTTCTTTTGAGAAATGTAAATATTAGGACAGTTACAAAATAATATTGTAGACACTGTGTCTGTGTTACGCAGAGATGAACACTCAATGTTTTGTCATAGTTTGCTCAAAGCACGAACGGACACAAATCAGATTAACACCATAGACGGTCCTCAAACCCGCAACCATCCCTTCTGTTTCTAGAGGCAAACGATTGCTGGGTATGCTTCTTCACCGTCTGTACCTTGAGGCACTTAGAGGGTCCCCAGGCCAGCCAGAACTAAACAGTGAGCACCTTTGTCAATCGAACAGACGAACAGATGAAATGAAGGATCCCCGAACAAAGCCTGAGGCTGCAGTGTGTCTTCTGAGGCTCGTGCAGGCGGAATTGCGTCTCTGCAGCTCTGGGATGTTACTTTGGCGATTTGGCCCTGCACCGCTGGGCTTCCTGCATGGGCTCTGTCTGTGGATGTGCAATGTCTGAGTTTTGGGTAGGGCTGCTGTGGTCCTAACGCTGTGCAGTAGGTTCACATCCCACTCTGTTTCCCTTTGGTGGGGTGCCGAGATGTAGTTCACCGATCTCCCCTCATGGTCTGCAGCGAGTACCTGTTGCCGTTTCTGGTGCTTCAGGGTAGAGACCCGGGGATGGCATTGCGGAGCTCTGAGGGTGGAAGGGCCATATGCTTTGGCTTTCCAAGTGATTTCCCAAGTTCATGTGTTGTCAGTAGCCCACAGCAGTGTCAGAGATAATACTTTACTTGTGGTCAGTTGGGTGGCCTAGAAATGGCTTCTTCTAATTGCCCTAGGGATGTGTGACTCTCAGTGTCTCAGCAGTTCTGTCACTACTGCCAGGGCCCGACTAGGGAAGACGTGCTGAGACTAAGAATTTATATTTTATTTTTTCCTTTTAATCAGTTTTTTTTTTTCCAGGACCAATCAGTTTGACCTTGTTAAAGAATAAGTTTTTGTTGAATTTCTCGTTCTTTTTCTATTTGATTTTTGCTTTTATCTGTATTTTCTTATTCTTTTAAGATCTAATCCTCTCATGTTGTGCCATCTTAAGGTAGATGGCTGTATCAATGACTTCAAATATTTCTTCTCCAGCTTTTGAGCTTTAAAGACGAACTTTTCCTTGAAACACTGCCTTATCGGCACCCCATCCATTTAAAATGTACTGTTTTCATTATCGTTAAATATTTCTAATGCGTCACAATGGAAACTGGAAAAATTTCCGGACTATTTGGAAGTATTTGTCTTGATTTCTAAATATTAGGGAATTATCTTTATTTTATTATTATTGATTTGTGTGCACTCACGTGCATGTGTGTGCATATACGCCATGGCACATATGTGGAGGTCAGAGTTCAGCTTTCAGGAGTCTGTTCTTTCCTTCCACTTTTTCACAGGATCTGGGGCTTGAACTCAGGTTGTCTGGCTTGTGTGGGAAGCACCTTTCTCTGCTGAGCCACCTTGCTGGCCCCACCTTTTGGAGGTTCTCCTCACTGTGTTATCGCTGAGTTTTGGCTTGATTGCATTTGGCCGGAGTCTGTAACGTGCTGTCTATAGTAGTAGGCTTGAAGTTCACTGCAGCCTGCTGTGGATCTGGTTGTTCTTCATGAGTGATGTGGACGTTCTTCCAAAGACAGTGTGTTCTGCATTGGGTGTAGTGTCCTGTCACTGTCACTAAGGTCAAATGATTTTTGATCATAAATCTTTTTTATAAGTATATGTATACACACACACACACACACACACACACACACACATACTTGTATGTGTATGTGCACATGCATGTGTGTTTGTGAGACTGGGGGACAAGCTTGGGTGTCGTCCTCAGGAATGCCATCTACCTCCCTTGAGGCAGGGTCCCTCATTGGCCCTGAAGCTCAACAGTTATGGCAAGCCTGCTTGGCCAGAGAGCTTCAGGAATCCTCCTGTCTCCATATCCTGAGTCCTGGATTGCATGTACACATAGTGCCTGGCACCTTTGTGAGGTTTTTGTTCTTCGTTTCTGCCCTTGTGATGCTGTTTTAGTTCATTAACATTGATGTTATACAATTAATGCAGTTACTTCCAACACCTTTGCTATTTGTTTTCTGTTTGTTACAGTTCTTGCTTATATATTTTTTCTGTTTCTGCCCAGTTTTGGGTCACTAAGACAACTGATGTAATCTTATGTATCGCTTTTATTGGTTTGCTAGCTACATTGCCTCAGCTCTCTAGAGAGCTGCCATGTACATTCCTGACCTGTTACAGACTTCCTATTTCACAGTATAAAAATCGTAAGAGTTAGTTTAATTTTTGAGTTTACAGTCCATTGTAACATGCATTAATTTACACGTGGTGTGAACTCCGGAAGAGGGAGCCACTTCTGGCTTTACACCAAGGAAAGGTTTTTAATGGAGTAGAAGTGGTTTCTCCTGTCTTTTCCTACGTCCCTAGTTTCCATGGAGGCTCGTCTTCTTCAGCCTCACAAACTTGTTTTTGTAGTTAGTAGCATGAGTTTATTATGATATGTTATGGCAAACTTGGTCTGAATGAAAATATGTTTTGCTTTAATTTTTTTTGACACAGGGACTCACACTGTAGCCTGGCCTGGAACTTTCCATGTAGACCAGACTGAGTTCACATAGATCTGCCTGCTGCTGCCTCCTGAGTACTGGGATTAAATTTGTCCATCACAACGCCTAGCTCTTGCATTAATTTTTGAAGATGGTTTTAGGTTTTCTTTTCCATAGAGGACTTTGTTGCTTTGTTTTCTGCCCATTATGTTGGCTATGTTGTTCTATTATTCTCTGCCTTATTCCTTTAAGACAAGCTCTCTTGCTGAATTGTGAACTAGTCTGGCAGCCAGGAAGCAGCAATGACCCACTTTTTCCTCTCCCTGCAATGCTGGGGTTACAGGCGCCTGTGATCAGACCTGGCTGTTTTATGTGGTTGTTAGCTTCCAAACCCACATCTTCATGTTTGCCCAGTAAGAGATCTTGCTCGCTGAGCCATTTCTCTTGCTCTCCACCTAACTCTTGAGTTTATGAATTCTAAACAAATAAGAAGTACAATATTTTTACAAAAACATTTGCTCAAGATCTCAGAGAAGATCTATATTATAAAGAGTTCTTTCAGTCTCATAGAGGTTTTATAGGGAAACAAAATATATAAAGATAGAGTAAGTAAACAGAATAAGTAAATATGCCTTTTGTAGAAGAGCAGATTCAAACAGCAGTCAGCATATGTAAACGAAACCCAGAAAACAAAAGCTCTGAGGACATGGTGGTGAAAGAATCATAAGTAAATGGCCGAGGTACCCTTTATACCAGTTTCTGGCACAATTTAAAGCATTGGTGATGACGGTGTTTGCCAAGATTTGAGGCAGAGGGCCCCCATTGTTGGGAAAGTAGCAACAGTGGGCCCTAAGTTGGAAGAACGTGACATATCTTTGAAAAAGGTTTATCCATCGAGCCTGGCAGTCTGTCCCCCTGTAATAAAGTCTTTCTATAAGGATATACAAATGCACACATTTTTTTGTGGCATTTTTTTTATGGTGTTAGAAAAAGAGAAAAACCAGAATGGCTGAAGAATCAAATAGAATTCGATATTTTATGAAAACATTGGTACTTTCTAAAAGACATTGTATAAGAGAAGGAAACTGTAAAAAAAAAAAAAAGTGTGTATATGTAAGATATTCACATAAAAGCTATGTTGAAAGGGAAAATCTACTTAGAGAAAGAAGAGAGGGAGGGAAGGAAGGATGGGGGAAAGTGAGAAAAAGAAGCAAGCGAGGGAAGCAGGGTGGCACATGTGCTTGGGACCGAGCCAGGAGCAGAGCTCTGGATTCACTTAATTGGGATTACTGGAGAGAGTGATATGACGGGCGGAGGGCAAGCCAAAGGAAAGCATTATCTGTATTAAAATTGGGCCAGTAAGTGCTTAGAGAACCATGAATGGGCCCACTAAGGCAGGCAAGTGAAAGTGTAACACAGTAATTGTCACCCATCACCCTGGCAGAGATAAAGTGATCAGGGTCTATTGTTAATGAGGGGAATAGTCTCCCTGAGTCTTGGTATAGTCCTGTTGGCTTTGGGTGACGGCACAAAAGCAGTAGAAGTGAAAATCTTGGGCAGGGTGTGTTGGTATACACCTCTAATCCTGTCACTTTGGAGGTTAAAGTCCAGCACTGGAGGCCAGCCTGGTCTACACAGTGAACCCCAGTCTCAAAACAACAGGAGACAAACAACCCCACACAATAAGAAGACATAACCAGCTTTACATGTCAGGAATTTATCCTAAGGAATTCCCTCAGCTGCATGCAGGATGATTTGTGTTTAAGAGAATTAATAATTGGTAATAGAAGAAACTGAATGCAGCCCGTACTTTCAAACCTAGGAGACACTGGATAAGTAGGTTCTACCGGAAATGTGATGTTTCTGTTCTCCATTCTGTCCACTCTGGTAAAGGTAGACTTTTGACTGATGCAGAAAAAACTTTTGGATGAGCATTGGTGAGTTTACTGAACACACATAACGGAGAGTACATGCTTTAGATGAAGCACCGGCATTTTGAGAGAAGGGATGTGTGATTATCTGGGCTTTTGAAGTTGAATTGTTTAAAGGGTATAATTGACAAGGAAGTTTAAAGATTAAGCAGATTAATTTTAAAGATTAAGCTTAAAAATTAAGTGGAGTTTAAAAAAAAGGACATGATGGTTTACTTATTTTTCTGTGTGTGTGTGTCTGTGTGTGTGTCTGTGTGTGTGTGTCTGTGTGACTGGAATCACAAGGTAGCTTTATGAGGCACGCTTTATAGCTAGGGTTGACAGAAATGTGATGTGGCTAAATTCAAAGGCCTTGAACATTCATGTCGTAGGTAAGTATAGTTTGCCTTTTTTTTTTTTTAAATCATTATTTGAGATATTTTTGAGAAGACACACATCTCTTAGGTAGTTTTGATTTTGTTGGTTGTGTTGAAGTTCCTGCCTTTTTAAAAATTTTTCTTTATTTTTACTTTCTGTATGTGGGAGTTTTGCCTGCATGTATGTGTGTGTACTGCATGCACAGTGTCTGCAGAGGCTAAAAGGTGTCAGGTCTCTTGGGGCTGGAGTTACACATGGTTGTGAGCTGCCATGTGGGTGCTGGGAATTGAACCTAGGCCCTGTGGAAGAACAGCCAGTGCTCTTAACCACTGAGCCATCTCTCCAGCCCTGTGTTGACCCTGTGTTGAAGTTTCTGACTCTCAGCCAGGTGTTGGAGTAAGGGGATTTTTTTTCCTTCCTGGGTCCTCTTAATTTCCCATGGTCCAGTGCTGCTTCAATGGGAAACATTTCCTATGGCCTCAGCAGCGTGTGGTTTCAGCGACATGTTCTATGTGCGACATGGTGATGGGCCCTTTCTAAGTCAGGGAGGGTAAATAGGAGCGTGTTCATTGTTACCTCTTATCTGGAATGAGGTTACAGGATGCTTTTTATTCTGTGTTTTGTGTTTTTATACATTGTGTAAGCAAATTGCCTTTGTCAGTGTTAGGGTATACATATTAATTGGGTCAAGGTTATGTCATTAGGCTGGAAGGTATGGCTTGAGACTGTGCCACCTTCAGTCTATGTTTTTTTTTTTTTTTAAGATTTATTTGCTTATGTATATGGTATTTTCTCTGCATACCAGAGAGGACATCAGATCTCATGGAACTATGGTTATAGATGGTTGTGAGCCTCCATGTGGGTGCTGGGAATTGAACTCAGGACCTCTGGAAGAGAAGCCAGTGAGTGCTCTTAACTGCTGAGCCATCTCTCCAGCCCCCTCCCTGCCCCCAATCTGTGTCTTTGAGGCATGTTTACTTTGACAGAAGGTAGCAATAGGGCAGAGGCCATGGACTTGCTGAGTCTCAGCCCATAGGTCCTAGCTGGGTTGCTTGAGCTCTGTTGGTGTGGTGGAGGTTTATACTGGTTTCCAGCACCTTCCATGGGCTCTCACTATATCGCTATATCCGCTTAGTGTCGCTGTTGTTAGGTCTGAAGAGGTCCCCGGAGTCCAATGTGCAGTGGTATCTTCCTCACTAATTGAGTATCACTCTGTGGGAAGCAGAGCTGGTGACCTTGAAGACCGGCACCTGCTTCTTCCTGCTTCTGTTGACATTCTCTTTAAGTCATCCTGTCTTGGGGATACAGAGGTGGACCGAAGGGGAAAGCCCTCAGGTGGGCTAGTGAAGGGGACCCAGATTACCTGAATAATCAGTACTTGCTCACACGAATCTTTATTGGAGACAGTTTCAGTCACTTGGTAGGTAGCTAGAGAGAGACATACACAGCCACAAAGCTCACGGTGCTTTCCTTGTGCCTCTCCTTGGCGGCGGTAGGAGGAAGACCCCGTGGACTATGGCAGTGAGATGCAGCTCCTGCAGGACGGGGCCCAGTTGCAGCTGCAGCTGCAGCCAGAGGAGTTCGTGGCCATTGCAGACTATACTGCCACTGACGAGACGCAGGTATCTATGGTTGCTCACTGTACCGTGACTTACGAATCTCAACATACTTCACAGCGAAATCCATGTTCACACCATTAAGCAAGATCTGTATGTGACTATTCACTTCTCAGCCTAATAAAGCACCCCAGCAGGATACAAGGATGTCTGCAGGAGGATGGGGAGGCACCTTCGTGCTTGGAGAACATGGTATAGACCCCTCCTGCTCACGGGACAGCGGGGCTAGCGAGCCATCATGTTCTTGAGTCTGGCAGACTCAAGGCATTTGTGGGTCTCCTGACCGAGTCCACCAGCCACACACAGCTGTCCGCCTTTGTTCTTAAAAGTGTTAGGTAAGGGCTGGCAAGACAGCTCAGTGGGTAAAGGTGCTGGCTGGCAGCCTCAGTGGGGTCCCTGGAGCCTACATTCTCTGAACCCAGTACATATAACACACACACACACACACACACACACACACACACACACACACACACACA